CTGGGGAATTCTGGGAGTTGAAGTCCACTCATCTTAAAGTGGTCAAGTATGGACAACACTGCTCTTAAGCGACTGCAACATTTTGGAAAACTACCACTCTCATGGCAAAAGGAGTTCTAGGGTGGATTGGGATGAATATTTCTTTTATGTCCCCTTTGACCTGAGGTCTCCAAGGGTTCTGTTGGGGTTGAGTAAGAGTTTGCTTCTTGGGCTTGTATGACGCTTCACTCTATATGACCATAACATCATGTCAAGTAAAAAAGCCAGCGCAACAAATAATTTGTAAAACCAATTACATAATTTTTGGAAGAATAGTATTGGTGGTTTCTTACATTGTTTTAGCCCTGATTATGGAAATGGAGTGTATGCCATTTCGAGATGGGTGCAACTGAAGTGTCCTGTAAGTCTGAGCCATAAAGAAATAGATAAGTATTATCAAATCAATACAATATATGCATAACAAACCCTGTGCAACTTACTCAGTAAGAATCTCTCCTCCATCTCCACCCGTCAGCTTGGATAATTCAACGGTGTAAGAATCCACAGGGTTAGTATCGTCACGGTCCCATCGTACCAGCGCGGAGTGTTCACAGCTCTGAATCACCTTCTCTTCAATAACAGGTGGCAAAGGAGCTAAAATCATAAACAATACAGTGTCTTTTGAAGCACTGAAAAACAAAAGCTGTTTTTTGTCGAGTGAAAATCTAGATTATAAGTAACCGAGACTCAGATCACTGATAAAAAGTTGGGCCGTGGATTTCTAGGCCCTTTTTTTTTTTAGATTTCTTTTATCCCACCTTTATTATTTTTATAAATAAAGCGGCGAGCATACCTAATACTCCTTCCTCCTCCTATTTTCCCCACAACAACAACCCTGTGAGCTGAGTTGGGCTGAGAGAGAGCGAGTGGCCCAAATTCACCAGCCGGCTTTCCTGCCCAAGGTGGGACTAGAACTCACCGTCTCCCGGTTTCTAGCCTGGGGCCTTCACCTCTAGACCAAACTGGCTTTCCAGCTGAGAACAGCATTCAAGCAATAAATAACACAAAATAAATAATAAAATAACACAATCAAAAATATAGAAACTTCAAGTTAGAAGCTATGAATAAAACGGCACTATTGATTTAAACTCCCTCCCCACCTTTCAATATAACTAAAGTAAGACAACCATACAGGATATGCAGTCCTTTTTAATATATAATTGGGTGAAACTTAAAAAAAAACATTAAAAAAATTAAAAGGTGGCGTTCCAAATCCTTACTTTCCTCAAAATAAGAAAAACCTTCATTGTTCCTGGCTTTTTGAGAAAGATTAGTACCTAAATTCAGTGCGGTCTGGATAAACCTTCATGGATAGGATTGCGATCTTAATCTCCCTCCCACAGCTTACAAAATATTAGCTTTGGTTGGGCTGCTTCCCACTTTGCATACGTCAATAACAGTTTATTCTTTTTCTAAACCAAATCATAACACTGGAAGCCGTTTACCTGTCATATACACTGCTCTTTCACTCGCTGAGCTGACCCCAGCTCCGTTTACCGCCTTTACCCAAAATTCATATTGTGCGTTCGGTGCCAGATGAGTAACTGTACAGTAGGTTTCTTTCACATTTCGCCTAAACTCTGCAACTAGAAAGTGCAAGATTTAAGGAGCTGAAGCTTAGACTGACCAAGCCTCAAACTTTGTGTGACCCCCAGATAAACACTTTGGGACTCTCCAGAGCTCACATCCCGAAAATTGAACGGCCTGGGGGCAAAATAACCAGTGAAATGGTTGTATTAAACCTCCAGTAACTGGAGCAATCATGATGCTAGTAAGAAATACAGCAGATAAAATCACAATAAAACCAGCAGGTTGCCAAGATAGAAGTGCCACCACCATTGCTATCTTGGCAGATCCACCTCAAGGCAGATGTTGCCATTAAGAGTTTAGTTAAAGCCATTTTTTTTCATTCCACCTGATCTGGCTTTTTGTCTCCTTACCTTCTTGCTCCTCGTCTGATGTATCATTGCTCACTCGCTTGTAATAGAGTTGGTAGCTTTCAACAATGTCTTCTGAGAAAAAGCTCCAGCAGACTTTCACAGACGTCCCCGTAGCTGAATTGGGATCCTGAGCATTCATCACTGGTGCACAAGGAGGTGAAGACACTGAAATCAGAAAGGGGGAATTTTAAATTTTGCATAAGAGGACAGAAAACTATCAAACTTTAGCATTTGCTCACTGGTAAAAGCTGCTTTGCACCAGGATGGAATTTAACCCAGGAGATGGACTTCCTTTTCCATCAAAATCCATATTACTCCCATGAGCATCTGTGAAACATGCATTTCGACAGGGGGAAATCTTGTTAGCTACATTTTATTATGTCTCATCCAACTTCAGTGTAAATTAGATCAAATCATCTTCTTCTTCTTCTTCTTCTTCTTCTTCTTCTTCTTCTTCTTCTTCTTCTTCTTCTTCTTCGCCAGACCTACTTGATTTTTCTTGACTGAGCCTACTTTTTGGAGCATGGCTTCCAGCACATCATCAAAGGCCTACCATGGTTTTAGATGAAACATGTTGCACATCCCTGACATGTTTCATTGTCTTCTATATTTTCTTCCCTGATAGAATTCTGCATCCAACTAAGCACACGGAGATTTCCTTTATGGGGATCTCTTCTCTTTATGTTTTTGCAAATTGGTGGATTGTCCAAATTTGCTGATAAGTTGAGACTGATATAAGCCATGGATATATGAAGTAGGAGCAACAATAACATAAATTGTCCAGTAATCTCTCATGCAGAAGAAACTCCTTCAAATGTATCTTTTGGGCTTGTTCCTTTGCTGGAGAAGTTCTAGTATCTTAACTGTACATTCTGAAGCACATCCTCTAGGAAATGAAATCACAGGCTTCCAACTCAACCTACTGTTTTGTTTCGGTACCATAATGGACTTACTTGGGAAAGAATTAACAGACTCCATTAGTTCCTGAATGTCTGAGAAATCAATGACTCGGTCTACAAACTCTGCTGGAGTTGAGAGATCTACGTTCACATCCTTTTTCAAGAAGTTGTGCAATCTGAAAATGCCAGAGAAATCAGCATCAGATGGCATATGTTAATATTTATGCTATTCCAAAACATTTCTATTACATTATATATTTAAAACGTGGGCTCCACTCTTCTATTCAATACAGAATCAATTTACAAAAGAAATATCCATTAAATACAGCATTAAAATCCCAAATTAAACATGATAATTAAGAACTGCAGACTTCCAAATAATGTAACATTATTTTAAAATAGTGGTTCAATGATACATACAGGTTCAAATAAGAATGTTTCTGGTTGCTATTTAAAAGATTATAGGGAAAGGTTCATTGAATCTCTACAGCATCGGTGACATCATCACCAAGATCACCACATCACATGTGCTCATTGGCTCAGCTGGTTGCCACAATGACATCCATGGTAATTTTAAAGGTTGATATGGAGCTAATCATCTCAAACACAACTGAGCTCAGTAACTAATGTTCAAAAAGTAGGACAATAGTGGAAAAGAGACTCTGTTTGTTGGGCACCACAGCAAGACTGACCCCAGCATGCTTGAAAGATGCTTGGTTTTTTATTAATTTATGTAACCTCTGCCCCAAATCAACAGATCTCAGGACGGGATGCAATTAATAGCAGCAATTAAAAACAATCTAGATCAAAACAAAATGGAGACCCAACTGCTTGGCACTGAAATGAAAGCCAAATTCATGCCAAACTAGACTAAGAGATGTCTTTCCATAATTGACAATCCACATAAAATACTGCTCCCAGCAGTATTATACCAAGGAAACTAACCTTATGGCCAGATTTTAACACTGATAGATGTATAGAGGGATGACTACAGAAAGAGAAACTCTTAAAAATTCATATTTCAATATTACCTGTGTACTGTTGCAACTGCAGTCTGTTGAAGAAAGAGAGATTGATGATTACACTAATATATTACATATGCGCACACACACGCAGACATAATAATGATGTACTGACTTTTTCCCCAAGTCACTTCAAAATGAGGTAAGTTATTAAAAATTGCTATATTATTTTCGTGGCAAAATCCTGTGCATGTTTCCTCCAAAGTATACCCTAATATGTCTAATGAGGTAATTGCATTAGAGAAGTATGACTGAAATCGCAAACTAGAGATTGAAATAATGTCTTCACCGATGTCATGAGTTGTCAGATAAAAATGGCAGAATATTTCTCTTGTAATGCAAACCCAATTTTGTAATGAGGGGAGAGGAGGCAAAATTAAAATGCCATCTCAGGAGCCTACTAGGAACAGCAAGGTAGAATTTTTAATAATTACAAATAATAATTAAAATACAAAATAATAGCCCCTTTTGCAGAGAATCCAGAACAGTGACTCCTGCAGAGACCCACCGGTTTAGGTGAGGTGCTCTGGACTCACATGATCCTTTTGATATTTTAACTGTAGGTTTTTTTGAGAAAATATTAGCAATTTTCTCTGGCACATACTTTGAAAGTGGATGCAATAGAAATAGTTATTACATTTGTACTCTAGAAGCATTTAAGAGAGGGAAAAATCAATATGTGCATGTGTGTGTGTGTGTGTGTGTGTTAAATCTAAAGGTAGAATAAAGAGACGACTCCAAAGAGCAAAGGAAAAAAAAATACTGGAAAATTCCAGGCAGCAATGCAAGGTATGTCCATCTCTAAGTTTCTTAATAAAAAGCAGATAGTCCCTTCCAGATAGCCCAGAGCAAAATTAGAGAAATCAGTGTACTGAAATTACCTGCAATATTCTTAATGAAACCGTCTGCCCACCCCTCAAAGCCTCTGCTAACATCAGCAAGCAATTTGTTTAAACTGGACTGTTGAACCTTCGGATGTAGGACACTCCTAATGTGACGTCTTGTATAATAATTCTTAAACTGTTGATGGATGAAGTATTTTCCCCCAAAGGGGTTACACCAAATAATTGCTTTATTTTTAATTTTTGGTGCTTTTAAACTTGTTTCCTGCTGAGATTTGCTTTTAAACCATAAAATATAGGTTGCAGATTTTTAAAAATACATAAATGAAAAAATATAAAAATCTGCCTGCCATCGAGATCCAGGCAGGCAAGCACCAGAGAATCTATTTCAATCCCTTTCTGTTTGTGGATTGTTTTAATATTCCTGGAAGTGGCCTGACATGAGGAAAAATAGCCTTCCTCTTCCACAAGCCCACTCATCAATGAATTCCTGAACAACTATTGGTGCAATTCCATTTATTATTAATAATATCTTGGCATTTTATAAAGCACCCGTCACTCTGAACTCATCCTAAGTTAGAGCAGTATATGAATGTTGTATAAATTCAATAAGTAGATTGAGTGCATCTCCTTGAAAACCCATAGGTGTTTATAAAGGATTCAGTTCCAACTTAGATACCTTTACGTATGATTGAATATGGGGGCTTTGTTTGTGCAAAACAGATGCTATGCTGGGAAACCACAGACCTTTCCTTGAACTAGCTTCTCTAAACCAACCTTGGAACAGACTTACTGAGCCCAGGAATCAACTAAGTTAGACATTAACGATCTGTGAGTCTTACAAAGATGGCTATCTCTCAATACCTCCAGCTTTATTTTGGAAGACCTCTCTACAGTTGTTCCCTTCGTTCATTGCTGAACGGAAAGCTCAGCCTCAGATAGATAAATGGATATGCGCTTTAGAATACCATCTTTTCTTGTTTTAATTTTGCAATCTACTTTGCGTGTTCTTGTGTGAGAGAAACAGGGTGAAAATAAGAAATCAGATCTAACTTGCCTTTGGTCTTCATGTCATAGTTGACTGCAGATGTACATGTATCACTTTAAGCAGGACATCGGTCAGTTTTACGTGACAGAGAATCCTCTCTTGGACATATAAGAATATTATGTTGCACGGTCCCAAAGTCATCACGGAGTACAGCAGTGTTTCCCAACCTTGGCAAATGGAAGGTGTGTGGACTTCAACTCTCAGAATTCCCCAGCCAGCATGGCTGGCTGGGGAATTCTGGGAG